AACTTCATTAGCCACACCTGGGTGACTGGGGGAGTCGTACTGAGGGCTCATTTTCCTACTCCTTCCTCTCTCTCAGGTTTTCATTTTGTTGGCCACCTCTTGGTAATAAATATTGGGGTTTTTTGAGCTTTCAACGGTGTTTTGGTTTCAGCATTCTTTTGAACTCTCCCTATTACGGCATTGAGAATTAGAAACTAATACACCTAGAGCAAAATTAGACTGTTTCTCTTTCTAAAACACAAAAAAATCATATTAGCTAAAACTATACAAAAAAGACTGCTTTCTTTCACAACTGTGTTTGCGAGGCATTCTGAAAATCTACAGAACTAGACTAGACTAGCTCTCATCTACTTCATTCTCATCTTCCTTAGGAGATATATGAAGCTATAAAGTATTGTATTCTTTCAAGAGGAAATGCCTGAGGAATGTTAGTGTAATATATACTAAACCAGCAATGACAGACAAAGTACTAAGATTTCATATGGAACTATCTTATGTTATACAGATAAATACAAGAAGAATCCAGCATCGTTGCTATACAACTGATTGTTATTTGGTCTATTAAGCGTAATTAAGTTAGGGTTGAAAGATAAGTGATGAAGAATGAGTCTTCTATTTAACTTCTGCTTAGCAAAACTAAATCACACATTCCATACTTTGTTAATTTTTTTAAAGAATGCTGTATAGAAAAGAATAGTTTCATTCAGTTTTAAAATTGCACTTGAGGAGAATACAACTACTAGACTAGTCTCGGTTCTGAGCTCTACTTCACCCACTACAGTGTAACACACCAAACAATGAAAATAACACATAAATTTTCTTCTTTTGTATGATGACAGCTCTCACTTCAAGACTCCAAAGGCTCTCATTCACCCAGTCACACTATTTCTATCAACACAAACACATATTAGTGCATTAACTCTGTGCAAGATACATCTGAAATGCCCAGAGGTCAGTAATCCCTTCAACATCACAACCTACGTACTAACTGAGTTCACTAACTCATTAGTAGGATCTGTTTACTTCCAAATGCCTATTTGGTCTCCTAGAAGTAAAATTAATGATTTTTCTTTTATTATTATTAATCCTGATTTTTAAGATTACAGATGGTCGGGGAAGACCATAACTTTGATATTGTAATTCTTACTTTTTCCTTTGCAGTTTTTCAATATCTGGCAGTTAGTAGTCAGATTTCTCATCTTTCACAACTTCTGTTGTACCACCAAAGCATTAATAGAACTTAGCTTCTTTTGTATTCTGCTAGAGACTTGACAGGTAATACTACATTCCCCACAGTTCAAGGCTGTCAGATATTAAGAAGTATTCTTACTTACCCTTTAGGTAAACGCTAGTTGTGAACAAAAAAAAAATTAAAAAAAATGGAGAAAGAAAGGCTTCTTTAACAACCAGAGGTTAAAAGAACATAGAAATAGACTGAGGGTATATGTAGACTATGCTTACACTGTAATGGGAGTGGGCCTAGTTTGCCTCAGTTCCCCCCATTGCTGACTCACCAATGCTGCTACACTTTACTGCCCGTTTATCCACTTGTATCTCCACCCTGAGTCACCTCACAACTATGATACGATTCCTTGTGTTTAACCACAGTTCCAAATTAAGACCAGACAGAGTCCTTCTCAAGTATTGAGAGGGCTGACAGATATTGAAAATAAGAAATACAGTTCTCATATTCTAGGTCCTGTTTATCGTGAAATTGCTCTTCAGCTTGTGAGCATTTCTTACCAGTCCCTCTAGCATAGCAATATTCTCATTGTCAAGTGATAGTAATGACCTCATGAGTTCTTCCTTCATCTTCCAACTACTGCTGCCTCATCAATCATAATTTCATGATGTCTGTGTAACTATACCTGAGCTGAAGGTTTTCTCATCCTCAACAAAGTAACAAGTCAAAAGACAGATTCTGTATACTATTTGGGCTTCTGTAACTAAAAGAGGATTCCAAAACTAAACCCTGTCTTTTGTCCTTCTCCTTTTCCCCTCTACTCCCTTCAATCTTAAGCTTGCTTAAGTAATATAATGGCCAGTCTTCGCGAGCGAAGATTTGGGAAAGGTCATTAACCCTTCGAGCCTGCGCAGTGGATTTTTTAGGTGAGACCCAGCGTGCGCTGAACTGAGCCCACCCTTTAATCCTGAGGTTCATCTGCCGGGGCCGAGCAAGCTTGGACAGTGGCAGTGAGGTCCCCAGGACGTAGGTTTGTTTAGAGTGACCTTCTCTTAGATGGATTGCCTCACAGGGCTGACGAGCTCCATCTGCCCGGGGGGCTGGGAATCGAACCCGGGTCGCAGCGGTGAGAGTCCTGCACCCTAACCACTAGACCACCAGAGGCCCCTTGCTTAAGTGATTCTTTCCAAAAAGACTCTCATAATATATTTTCCACTCTTCAACCCTGTGAGAGGGGCAAACCCTCCACAGCAATTCAGAAGGAATTTACCAGCACTGTTCTATAAATTAAAAAGTCTCTGTGGCCTTTATTTTATAAGAGCTGCAAAGATAACACTGTAAAGGTGTTGCTGGCTCTTTCCTCTTTAGACTGCTGAGCCAGACAGGGTACCTGTGGAAGTGCTTGTGTACTCAGAAAGATAGCTTCTAAATACACATGTGGTATTGTTGAAGGTGAAAAAAAAATCCTACAAAAATCTGTTGATGTGCTTCCCTAGATAGTATCCCTGTCATCAGTCTCAAACATTATATCAGACTCTGGTGACATATATGGTAAGCATTTGAAAACTGATGGTTAAAGAAGTTTGTTTTCCTATGCCAAATGCTGACTTGAGAAGGAAACAGCTTACGTGGGTAATAAGGTTTGTTTTGGATCGATATGCAGTAGATTGCCCAGTGCTGATTATTTTGAACAAATGTACAGCTCTACCCCATGTAATAAAAATCTGGCTGCCCTTTGTTACTCATGAAACTCATAAAGGTTAAACCTTTAGCCTGAAGGAAAAAAGATCCTTTTCATCCAATGAAAATTAATAGAACTGAGCATCCCTCCCCTTGCAGGCAGCTGTAATTTTTCAGCTAAGAGGCAGAGAGGTCTAAGAAGAATTGATGATGGAAAGTTTTTGTCACCACCATAAACACATTTTAAAAGCAGCTAGCAGTGGGCTCACTCTGAAAATTGCATGTCTGAGGCGATGCCAGTGGTACTTAGCGCAGCTGGTCATGGCTGGGAGCCTGATTCAATGCTGTTTGTCTCAAGATTTTCCAGTGGGCCATTTCAAGTGGCAGCGCACAGTTGATGTGCCATATAACCCACATTAACACCTCACCTGCAAAATACATAATTACATTCAAATCTGCTCATTAGATGCAAAACACAAACACATGCCAATGGTTGCATGTCAGTGGCAACCATGCCCGGTGAAGAAAAGAAGTGGATTATTATCCAGAACTAGTGCCACATCCTGTCTCTCCAAAAAAAGATTACTGGCAGCTTGTATAGAGATTAAAATTTCACACAATCCTTTTTTAGATGATGGTTCTTTTAGGCTAGGTAAATCTAATTCTGTTTGTTTTCCACATGTTAATTTTGCATCTTAACTCTCATGGAAAGGTTTGTAAAACATATTTCTGTGATGCTAAAAAAAGCTATCTTCTGGTAAATTACTTCTCATATATATATATGTATAATGAGCTGACAAATTGCTTGATTTATAAAATTAGAGGATGTTAATCTAATATCTCTTAATATAACTGCTACTCTCATGTCAATCTTCTTTACTGGAGCATGTTTGTTCCAGATTTATTTATTTTTAATAACTAGTGTTCACTTCAGAGTGAAGTTTATGTTTGTATTAAACTAATTTACATCCATTTGAAAGTGTTAAATTCAAGCCAGTCCCTTTTTCCACTGGGAATACAGTCAAGCACAGCTGCTGCCAAATAACTATTTGGAAAATATGTTTTTATTATTGTTGTGTCTTTAGGTGATTATATGCAGTGGCTGATCTGAGAACTCATTACAGCCATTGCTAATGCAGTGTTCTACCACAGCAGGTAGCAGCTAAAAAACTCCAAACAAAAACTAAGCCTTGAATTTAGGAATAATTTCTTAAGACTTACTTAAAACACAACATCACAGAATGGGTCAGGGTGGAAGGGACCAGTGAACGTCATCTGGTCCAACCTCCCTACTTAAGCAGGGTCTTCTATAGGATTGTGTCCAGATGGCTTTTGGATATCTCCAGTGAGGGAGACTCCAACACCCTCTCTGGACAATCTATTCCACTGAAAAGTAAATATAGATCATACATATACATCACACTTATACATCAACTATAAGTATTTGGTGAATCGTTAGCAGAATGCACTGATAAAATAATGCATTTATGTAGCATAATCCATTAAATTCCCATTCACAGTGAGCTTTGAAACATGTTTTGGGGTTTTTTACCTTAAAAAATACAAGTAGATAGTCTAGCAGTATGTAGTCTTTCTAAATTCCATATGTTTAGAGGTTATTTTCTTGAAAACAATGAATTCTTACATTAAAAAAACCATCACTGCTTCAGATATGCTACCACAAAAAAGAAACAACCTTGAAAACACATATTATATTAAAATGAAATCCAGTGAACAAACCTAATCTCTTTAAAGGATTTATGACAAAGGTAAAGCTTAGAAAAACATGTTTTTAAAGAGAGTGAGAACTTATGTAGACTCTGTGAAAAAGGGTCTCTCTGAGGAAAATGGTGATCTCAATATCTAATGAAGTCTGGATGTGTTCTATAAAGTGTAAAAATGAAGTTTGCATAGGTCATCATAAAGCTGATGCTTCCTAATTTTACAGACTAGATGATCTACTTCTACTCTTACCTTCACACAGACTCCTGAGATTCTTGCTAGAGGGAATAATAGGAATAGATTTTGTTACCTGTCTGCATCCTGTAATGAACCAGCTGAAGCGTTTGAACCTTTTCCCTTCAGTTCCTGTAAAACTGTTAACTGCTGTTAACTGATTCACCTGGCCAGCAGTACTGGGGGAACACACTGCTGCTGGCAAGACCTCCAAGGGGCTGGGGAAAAAAGATCCCACTACTCTGCTTCTCCACTGGTGTCATCCCTGAGCTGAGGCTACAGGTGTTGGAGCTGGCCATGTATCCCACAGGTGGGATGCTGCTAAAGACCATCAAAATGGTTTTGAGATGTGCAAGATTTGGAAATAAAAGCCAGCTAATTTCTCTGCTTTTTCTCTTGCATAGATCCTCCCCCAATGCTATGGTTACTTCTTGGTGACCTCACTACAATGACAAAGCTGCCACCAGTGCTTTGAGGTGTGTTCTTTAGTCCATAAGCATGGGCTTATTCACTCCCTTTTTAATTTTTACAACATGATTGGATCTCTTAGAAGTTTCGCACATTCCACATTCTTACTTTGTCAAACTAATAAGTGCTGTTTTAATCACTTCCATATCTCTGAGCATCCATATCCTGATAGGTGCTTAAGAGAAGAGTATAAAAGAATGGCTCCTTCCCTGAAGAGCTTGAAGCAGCTACTTTACAAATTGTACTATAAGAACTTGTAAATGACACATATTGAATTTTTAACCCTTATACTTCACCAATATCATTTTTATATCAAGTCTTTCTTTGATACTGATCCACAATTACTTTTTAATAAAGTGTCTTCTTGACAATGTCTCTTATCTCAATCAGATAATTGACAGCTCCTTTATACAATCTGTATATTTTTGCAAAGTATTATATCACTAGGAAAAAGAGAATGACTTAAAGCAACTTAGGTAAACTAACAAGAGAAACAACAGCTCCAAAGAACTGACTTTACAAACAACAGACTTTTGGAGAGACACTAGATTTCACCAAGATTAAAGTGGAGTGAGACAGTATGGTACACACTGATAACATACAGTGTTAAAGCCTTAGAGAACAAATGACTGGGGAGTTACTGTAATAAGATGCAATTAGAGGGATATTTTAAATTTCTTATTACTAGATATGAATTTTAAGAAAGAATCTGACCAAGAATTATGACTCAGATCGCTGAGAGAGCACTGTATTTAATCTCCTGAGTGAATTTGAAATAATGACTTTTGTTTGTCACCCAGATTTTGTTAACAAAGTAAATAAACTGCATATTTTTAAAAATCTCATCTATTTTTCTCATCTCTCAAACGTATTTTTAATTTTAAAATTAAATATTTTAGAATTGCAAATACTGCTTTTAAAAATGCATTTTAATGTGCTAATAAAATAAGCTACTGATTACACTAGTCCAGGTGTTCAGAACTGCTTAGACATCTCCATAGAGCACGGCACTGTGCCATATCATCATATTCTATCTTTTGTCTGGCTCATTTTGTTAACAGAACATTTCAATAATGTACAAAAAAAAAAAGCTTCTATGTTTCACTTTATTTCATTCATTGCTGTTCTTATCCACACCGGAATTACAGTTTTTATCTGAAGGTGTTACGTGGGAGGCGATGAAGGGCCCAATGAACCTGCTTTATTCCCTTTCTTCCCACTTGTGGTAACAGGTCATATTGGGGTTTAGCTGGAAGAAGAATCTGAGCAGCCTCACTTTAACAGGATAATTACAGTGCCATAGCTATGCTGATATAACTCCCCCATGTGGATACTCTATTCAAGGATAAAAAATATTTTATTCTTGTATAATTACTCTGCTTTTTAATTCTGTCTGAACAAATCCCTATGAAGGGAAGCATATCAACATATCTACAAAGTTTCATTTCTTCTTGCAGTCCAACTCTCTTAGGGAACCTGAGATGCTGGGATGGCACCAAGTCTGGACAAAGAGCCCTCCCCACAGAGAAGAAGGAGATTGAAAATGGGGTACCATGAAATATTTCAACAGTATTGAGTTAGTAGCAAATATATATGTTAAATATCAGCCTAAACTGAAAAGATGAATTTTCACTTGGTTAAATGTCTAGATTAACATTGGAACTTTCATTTTTAAAGTTGTTTGGGGGTTTTTGTTTGTTTTTTGTTGTTTGTTTGTCTGGGGTTTTTTCTAGTGAACAGTTGAAAACTATGCTTTTCGTTTTCCTGTTAGGAAAAGCCTACACGGGCCCAATTACAGATTTAGCTGAACTGAACAAAATGTAGTTTAGGGACAGAAGGAAGGTTAACATCACAGAAACTACTTACTTTTTAAAACATATAAATGCTTTTCAAGTTCTTTTCCACAATGGATCTAAGAGGCTGTCTACAGATACAGGTAGATCTGTCTGTACAAGTTTCCCAGTGTAGAATGTTTTCTGGACTTGCAATCAATTCCCACACTTTCACTTTATGTAACAAAAAGATAATGCATTAAAAAATGAAAAAATAGGTTAATTAATATAATTGAAAAGAAATAGGTAAGTTCTAGTCTTTCTTTTCTCTCTTAGAAAGAATGAAATTCCCCTGTGGTGTTAGATTAAAAAAAAAATCACTCTAATTTATCTAGAAATAGCATAAAAGGTTTTCTATTGCTGTCATGATAAATAGTGTGGATAATCTGGGGCTGCCTAATCATACGTCACTCACTGACCAAAAATACGTTTTTTGTCATCAGCATGGAAAGAAATTCTCATTGTTAGTAGAAGAATCCTTACCACAGACTGAATACAAACAGTTCAGTCCATAGCATCTGAACTTTCCAAATCACCAAAACAGAACTATTTTTAGATATAAAGCTATTTTGTAGCTTTTTTCTTGAGTGAAATTTTTAAAAAGAAAGTGCCTTGGTTACTGCTTTGCAGCTTTACACTTCAGTTACTAAAGTGTCACAGGTTTTAGAGACCATGTGAACCCTTGAAAGGTATGAAAATACTCCTGGATGACTTCTAAACAACAGACTTAAGGGCAGACACTTAGCTTGTGTAAATCAGTATCACTCCATTTAAGTTAATGGAACTATGCCAAGATACCAACTTTCATCTGACATGGTCTATTTTTTGCTTCCAACTACTCTTTCATGGAGATAGAGAACAAAAGGGTTTCAGAAGAGATCTGGGTACAGGCTGACCTCCTTGAGCCTGACTGATGCTATAGAATGGAACTTTAGCTGATGAACCAAATGCTGCATCACATTTCCTCCAACAACAACAATCTGAAATAATGATCTGTAGGCTCTTGCTGTTGCCAGCACTTTTAAAATGTTTCCCCTTGTGCCTCAACAGTTGAAATCCCAGGAAGTTAAATTAGCTTGCAAATTTGACTGAATTAACACCTGCTCATTCAAAACACATTTTAACTACAGGAAGGAATTCTTCACTCTCATTTGGAACAGCAAAAAGAAAAAACAACCCACCACCGAACACAGAAATTATGGCCAATTTCAAGTCTCTGCTGGAATACAGAATTAAGCCATAGCATAGTGTGTGGTTGCTGTTCCATCCTGTTTTCTACTGGTTCCAGTACACAAGCAGACCTAGACTGGAAGCAAATTTATAATTTTCCATGTTTCTGTTGAAAAATAGTCAAATATGCCCAAATATCTTCTCTCAGGTGATGTGAAACTAATAGAGAAATGGAAATTAATATCACATTAATAGTTTCTGCTTCCATTTTTTCTTATATGCCTGTACATTGATACACATAATACTGTGATATACTGCATGCAAAGCAGTGGGAAACATAACATCAAAAACAAGTAAGTTTCTTCTGATGCTGTGAATTCTGTCAAAACTGGTTTTAACCTGGCTTTGCAAACATAAAAAGATATAAGATTATATATTATATGTAATATATGTTACACCAATATTAAAATTCTTCTAGAGAGGTTAAGAATATTTCATTTTTATTTTATAATTATGAACCTGAAGAGGTGTTGCTACTGGAATTGATAAAATTCTGGAAGACTTAATGTACTTCAAATGCACTTAACTTTTATTGTTAGTTTATTGCATTTTTGTAAAGGAACAAAGGAATGTATTCTCTTTGTTCAGAAAACCTAAAATTGAGATTGAAATCTTGGTGACTTAGGAACTCATGGGAAAAAAAAGGGAAATTCATATTTACAGACCTGTTGTGAAGCTGGTGCTGTAACTCTCTACATGTCCTCAGCTGGGGTTGTGACATGAGGATAGCAGCTGATAGGCCACGAGACCGTGGCTGGAATCAAGGCGGGAAGAAACTGGCACTAAGACTTCCTATGTACCTAGGAAGTGCCATAGCAATTGGGACTGTGGCAGTTTTAATATTAGTGTCTCCCTTGTGAATATGTATTTTTAGCTATGAACATTTAAAGAAGAGGAAGCAGATTTCCTGTTTGCCAGACAGCCTTAGCTGACAAAGATGATACTTGAGCAGCTGCATTTGAAATGCCAGAGTAAACCCCAGGAAAGAGGCTACACCTGAAAAATCAGGCACAAGAGGTTTTAAGTGTACTGTGTATTCATTTGTCATGAGTTAGTATTATACACCATATGTTTTCTCATTCCTAACTTAAGGAATTGTATGATCTTCCTATAGACGCACCCTTGGATGAGGGCAGTGGTGCCCGACACACACAGCAATCATTCTCTCACTGTCGAGTCTCAGCATCACAGATTCCAGGAACACACCACTGGACCCCTCACATCCACCAACACACACCTAACTGGATTCACAGAAGCACCTGATCTTGAAAACAGTCCCTTAATTTTAAAGTCATTCACTGTTGTGAACATAAAAGGGATCTTAACTGAAGTTAACTTTTAGTTATTGATAATAAATATTTCAAGCTACTTTACTAAAGTTTTATCAAGAGAGCGACACATTCATAATTATGTTACAAATATATTCTGTGTATATACATAGCTTATGCAATATTTTTACTGGAAATTTCCCTGCTGCTTTAATTTTGTGCCAGCTCTTTACGGAGCCCTGTACTAACTATTGTCAAGGGAACTGTTTGTATTTAGTTCCCTGTAGAAGGGGGTGAGGATTACACTAAGACTTTAAGAAGAGGAGAGATAACAAAGAAAAAAGGCAATAAAGAAGAGACATGGGAAAAAATAGAACATCCATAATCTTGTAGTTCTCAACCTTTTAAATCAGTCAAATAAGGATGAACAGTAATATATTCTAAGATCAATAAGAAGTGAATTTTGGAAGGCTGTACCTTACAGAACTGGAACAGTCACTTCTTATGAAAACTTTTATAGTCCGTGGCAAGTTTCTGAAACAACTTAATAAACAATGAACAAAAGTTCAGTGTTTCTGAGTTTTGGACTGTGTCATAGCAGCTAACATTGTGTTAGGTACTATGATGCTTGGGAAGTACAGTCATAGGGCTAGTATAAAATCTCACCATGAAGACTTTACTTTTTCATGCTACAACTGCAGCACAGCATCACACTGTCCCATCAGGCTGCTGACTGCAGCATTACACGAGCACACCACAAGCGCTGAACCTCTCCATCATGAGTGTCAGAAATCATGTTTATGCCAGTAACTAATGTTTAACCCCCCATAATGAAACATACTGTTTTTCCCTGATAGGTTTTTGAAGACATCAAAACCTCAACACACTTACAACCCCCGAATAATCTGTTGCCTAAGTCAAGCCCAGAGAGCAGTGCAAATCTCTTCCTAGTCAGAGGAGCCGATCAGATGATCCCACAAAGGATCTTGTTGCCCACAGAAAATCACCTGGCCAGTGATGCACTGACTCAGATGATTCGGGGAGAGCACTTAACCTGTGTGGGTTTCTTGGACAATAAAAGCTTGAGGGGTTTACTGTGCCAGCACAACAAATTTAGTAAAGAGTCACAGTGCCTCTGCCCTCTGCTGCCAGTTTTCAGTCCCATAGTGCAAGAACTTCCATTGAAACACTTGAAATTTGAAAGCTGTAGGAGACAAAAAAACATGCACTGTAGGGATATCAAACAGTGACAGGGGTGAGACGACTCTCCTAGATACTCTTGGGACAAATACAGGGGATCCAGCTGGCATTAGACCTACAGTGCTCAAGACAAGAGACAACTAAATCTCGAACAACAGTTCCAGTCATGAAAGTAAAAGAGGGAAGATGCAGTTAGACAGAGAATAGTGACATGATGGAGTGACAACTTGCTCTGGAAAGAGGGAAGAGAGTGTCAAAATTGACACAGGAGCTGTAAGCCTGAATGACAGGGAAGATGATGAAACTGCTGATGGACATGTAACAGTAGATGTCAGGAAATTGAGGTGCACCTGTGAAGAAGAGTTACATCTAAGCCAGTGTATGAAATGCAGCTAAAGCAGAACAAGTACATAGGAATGGTAAGACCATGTTAAAACCTAAGGCAAGAAGGCCTTCTCCAGGGACCAAGGGGGAGAGGAACAGAAATAGTAATAGGAAGAAAATTTTGATATCCACTTAGAAAAGTATGAAAAGCAGAAGTTATATTTTTCTGTCCTGAATTGTTAAATACATTATAGATAACCTTATTTAAAGAATACAGTTTTGTCATGCACTGAATTCTTGTCAAAATTATTTTGGGACAGCCAGGTATCAGGTAACTCACACTGAAGTCTCATACAGAAATGTGCTTAACACATCATAACATATTAATGCTGAGAAACTGTCTGGATGGTGATCTGAGGACATTGACCTTGGATGTCTCAGCTGATGCTCCAGAGGCATGTATAGGTCATTCTGAGTTTGACCCTGGGAGGTCTAAACGCCACTGTAGTGGACATCTGGAGCAAAAAAAAAGACAGGTGCTGGATCTATATCATATTTTGAAAAGTGACAGAAACATAGAGGAAAATAATGGAATTCTAGCAGCATGGGGCTCAGTGCCCATATCTCTAATTGCAAATACAAACCTTGGGGATAGAGAATTGCTCAGCTGTGGACTTAATGCTAGACAAACAATAGAAAAGGAGGAGGAATCCCGAGAAACATGAATCACAGCAGGGTTGAGATAAGACTAGGGGAGAAAGTCATTAATGAAAATTGTTGTTCCAATATATGTACCTTTCAGCTGAAAATAAATTCCTTCCCAACTTGTATTCATTGCTTGTCTGACATGTGTTTAGTTTTACTTTTTGCTTTGTTCTTTCTCAAGTGTTAAAAGGAAAAAATACTTGAAGTCCAGTGAACACAAACTGTGAAAGGAAAGCCTGAGACCTTAACTTCAAAGACTAACTACACAGAAGACAAATACAGGTTAGCTGGAAAAGCGTTAAAGGACTAAGGTAAGTGGCTGTTTGATGAGGAAGACTCATCAAAACCTATCTTAAAATTTGTTAGGAAGTCTCTCCCTGCTGTCACTGAATGACTACTCCAGAATGTTGGACTGCTAGAAACCTCCTTTGAATCTTCACCCTGGAGTTTCACAAGGCCTTTAAGATTCAAGTGTCCTTTATAAAGTCTAACAGAGATTAAATATTAACAGTTCTCAATCCCAACAGTTGCTGACCTCCATGATGTAGCTGTCTTGGCTGGTTAGTTTATCTTTCCCTTTCAGATATTACCCTAACAGTCTCTTTTAAGTCATTATTTATCTATGAAGCCTGAGGTTCATCCTAAAAGCTTTTCTGCTTACATGGAAATAAATTCTAGATATGCTAGCAATCAGTATTTTCAGTTTACTTCATCAACAAGCTTTCTAAGTATCTTCTTTTTTTCTTTTTTTTGCATGTCTTTAAAGTGAAGCTATACACTAAGTCCTTAACCTCCAACTTAATTGAATTATTAATCAGGCCCTCAAAGTTGTTTGACAGTTCTTTGTGTTTTGCATTTTTAACAGCTGATCTTCTACAACATGCTCATTACTTTCAAAAACTTTACAGGTAAGGAGACTTATGCAAAAGACTGTCTGGTCACATCATTACTTGTAGTGTTTTTCTTCTCATCAACATTTGGAAATTACATAATAACATAACTCCTGGAAACATTTATTCTTGTAACAACAACATCAAGACTTTATATATCCAAGCCCGATACTTGCCATACAGTGGCTGGAAAGGTGAAGTGAGATTTTTTTTTATTTTATTTTTGTTAATAAGGATGAGAAGAGATCTGAAGGCAAAAAAAAAAAAAAAAAAAGAGAGAGGAAGAAAAGAACAGCAAGAGCAAAGAAAGGATGATGCCAAAACAGCTGCTGAGAAAAACAGGCAGAGGAATCAGGGAGAAAGCAAGCAAAGAAATGTGATCAGAAAAAAAATCATTGAGCAAGATTTCTACCTGGTGTCTGTTTCAGGGCTGGAAGGGAGGGAGTTTCTCCTGTAATTCTCTGTAGTTCAAAGGCTGTTAAAATCAATATACAGGTGAAGAGAAAATACCTGAGACAATATGATACTTAGACAAAGTATTCTACAAATTTTTGGCCCATTTTACAAATGTGTACTAAGGCATTGACTTTAGGAAATCCTAAAAGTCAGGTTTACTGAACTCTAGTGCCAGCCCAGCGAGATGATAGGTTGGAAAAACACGGCTTTGCCTGAGTGGCTGGTCTTGAGGCGGCTTCAGATAACTTTTCCTAGAGGGTTAGAGGGTTTTAGGCACCGCTTACTACAAGGAAAGCAAGGATTTTTAGGCGGGTAACTAAATACAGGGACACTTGCATTCTACTAGCCATATATTTATGTGGATCCAAACTTGGATGAGCTGTGGCTTTAGCCCATTACCTGGTATAGTCTGGAGTATAAACATAAGCTTAGAGTGGAAGGTAAGACAATCAAATGAGAGAAAATCTTATATATATACACTAAAGGTTGTAGAGGTAGGACAAAAGTCAGAACTCAATAAGACAAAATAAGATGATTATTAAAGAAAAGAAATTTGCAGCTAGTAGACCAGGAAGAAAAGAAGTCTCACCTAAGTCCCATATCTAGAAAAGACAACGACTAAGACTGTAAGCGAGGGAACTGATCCAGAACTACAAATAAAAATGGTCACATCAACAAAAAGGAGTGAGATGAGGCAAGGTGCTAAATAAAAGCTAAGTAACAAAAAGTGAAGGGAAATGGCAAAGAACAGAGAGTTCCAAGAGTCAAACTCACTCAAGAAGAAAGAAAGAAAAAGGCAGCTAAAACTACAATAGGACCCTGAAATGTAAGAGAGCCATCATTATTTATCAGTGTCTGAGAAGGGGTAGAAAAAGAAATGAAAATGATGCCTGACCTAGTATGAGAAATAGAAACTGTATTAATTTTAAAAACAAGGAATTATCTGGCTGAAGATAGATAGTGTACTAATAGGACTGGTACAATTCATCTTATATACCCATTGCTATGAGCAGCATCTAAAAACAGGTACTATTGTATTTATCTAGTACAACAGTACCAGACAACTAATTTAACCATATAATTTAGGGTGAATACTCTAAGACAGTCTGAGATTCCCTAGAAGAAAAACTAAACTGAACTTGCAATATTCTGCTCTATATATCTCTCCCTAAAGACACCATTTAATCAGGTTTGTCTCAAATATTAATTTCTATACAAATGAGTTTCATAAAAATACAGTTAATTGAAATATATTTGAGGTGGATAAGGATGATTCCTCCTTCTCCATCAGAAGATAAAGTACTTCTAGTTTTTGAAAAGATAAAAAAACTTATTCTAAATATTGGAACACAAAAGTGAAATAGACTGTAATTGACTGTTTCCATTTCTAAATGAGAAAATTAGTGGTAGTTATAGCAAAAATAGCAGCATAGCATTTTTGTTTACTTTTTCAGTTTAAATAATCTAATTTGTTAGTTCCAACACAGTCTAAGTAAAACATATTTTAAAAATTAAGTATGAAGCTGAATTGCCAGTATAGGCAGATACAAGTCCCAAGAAGTCATGTAAAAACAGATCTTTGCACACTCGCTGTGGAACTAGTGAAATATCTCAACTAGATGGCACCTCTTTCAGTCAATACTCCATGCACAGTTGGATGTTCAGTCACTGAAACTTCCCAGCACAGGTGGGAAAACTAGACTTTTTATTAGATTCCTTCATTATTTTTCTTAGACATTTCTTCTCCTAAGTTGGTTTGAAAGGCCTACATTTACCTCAGTATGTGAGTAAAACATAAAACAAATTAAGAAAGCTCATTCGTGAGATCGGCCCTCCCTCTCTCAAGACAGATAGTTCACACCACACACTTGTGTTTCTACTTCCGGGCTACCACCAGACAATAAAATGAGTCAAAGTATGAACCTGTGTCACTGAACACTACAAAATTACTTGCCTTCACTGTTTTTCATCTCTTACTTCTAAAGCACAGAACATAGACCAAGTTCCAAGTCAAATTAAAATTTATAAGTGATTTATAAGTGATTTATCCTTTGTCTTTGCACAGAACTCTTCATGACACCTACTCTGCTCATTCTTATGACTCAAAACATAGGCATTACATGTATATTGTTATGACTCATATCAAGCCCAATAGCTACACAGTAATTTAAAAAAATTAATTTTAAATAAGAGGTAATATACATTTTAGAGTATTCAAGGCAGACTTTTATGCAGAATTCAGATGCAAAACTGTACTCCCTTTGTTCCAGGTTTTCTCATAGATATGTATTTTATCTGCCTATACTGTGGTGCAGCAGAATAAGAATTCTTCACGTGGCTGTAAGAGCCCCAAGGAGTTACAAACACAGCCACGGTCAGAATGAGGTCAGGTTATTCCACATCCCTTTCCTCTGGTAAAGCAGCAGGAGGAAAAGCATATGGCATAACAGACACTAAGTCATATTGCTCGTTCTATACTTAGTTTTCCATTTCTGCCACATGTAGAAAGTTCCATGTGTAATAAATGTCAAGAGCCCTTGCATTGCCCCAAATTTTCAAAAATTCTTCCACTGGTTCAGGCAGCTGGAACAGGGCTGACACAGACCAGAGCCTGTGCACTCAGACACAAAAGCACCCAAAGGCCTATATTTTCCTTCAGGTGGCAAAGAAATGACACTTACTCACTACAACATCCCAGAAAAGAGAACTCTAATCAGACTTGAAGTGCTTCCAGCTTTTTATTGACACCATTGATCACATAACCATAATAGGCTAAGACGGCCCCATTTGGGCTCCTTTTCTCATTGTGTGTTATGAACTAACCCTGAAGTCACCCTGAAGGTCACACTTGGGGCCCAGATTGACAGGAAGGGTTGAAAGACAGGTATAGGTGGTATTTCTGTGTTGTCCTGTTGGACACACGTGAACAGACAGAGCTTGGAAGTAAATTATGGCACATGCTACATGGATTGGTAAGAGACAGGGTGTGAAAACCTTCTCCAGCATTCAAGTACCGAACTTAGAGGGAATGTTTCAACTTGGACTAAAACCTGAGAGCTAGAATCACAAGCCCATTTATCATTATACTGGCAAGTGCTCCCTCTGCACTCAAAGGGAATGGGGGAGTCTCACCATAAAATGTGCTGTGCCTTCTGCAGTGTCCTTTGGGACAGCATGGCCCTTTACTCTTACTCAGAAAAACGCCTTAAACCCCTTTCATATTATATATGCTTCACTGGTAGTCTGACATGGTCATTCCAGAGGAAGGGAAAAAAATAGATAATTAAAAGAATATTCATGTATTTCTTTAAAAGTGGTTGTATATATGCATACATCTTCGGAGTAATTTTATTTGAAGTATCATTAATAAAACCAAGACATACTGGTGAAACTCCACCCTAAGGTGAAATGTTTGTTCACTTCAACAGGATATCTGCCTGAGTAAGGCCACAGGATTTGGATTCAATACAAATAAAGCTATAAAATATTCCCTCACCAGAATAAAACTGTAAAAAGGCTGCTATTATCACCATAATACTGTATTATTCCAAGTGTGTGCTACTGGACTGTTATTATGCCTGCATAGATAGTTGCAGGGGAAACAGTGCACTGTGTTCTCTCCTACCAACACAGATCTCTGCAGGTAATTTTAATGGGGCTGTTAATAACCTGGCAACCATCCCAGCCAGATGTAGCACATTTAAACATTGTCCTTACAGCTTTGTCAGAACTGTTGACATGGCATGTCAGTAATGGAAAATTGCCACTGCACCGAACAACCATCTTCATTATATGGAATCACATTGTTAATCTACAGCCAAATGCAACTTGAGGCAGAAAGAGAGTTTAGATTGCACCCATCTGTATACTATCACTCCAGGTGGCAGGTCGTTCTTCAGGATTAGAGATTGAATCAGTCTTTCCAT